TGTCAGCGATGATACCAGGCCTAACTGTCCATTGCACTGCGTCACCACAGAGTAGCTCCACCAGAAGAGATGGAAGCCCAGCAAGAGTCCCAAAACAGAGCTCAGGTGACGTTGACTGACTACTAAATTTACATTTTAGTTGAAATAGCAACATTATATTCAAAACCTCTTTTGAGTATGAATGGTAGAAAGCACTGAGTGTTTACTGACCTAAAACCTACAAGACCTGGTCACCTCCCTCAGCACAGTGTATTTCGTGCATTCATTCAGTGACATATTTTCAGCCGACCCCAATATACAACACTTTGTGTTGATGCTAATGGAGAAACATAAAAGAAATCCTGTAGTCACAAATGACTAGAGACTTGCAAGAGTACTCTGAGAAGTACTACAAAGGATCTGTCCTGTCCTTATATATTTCTCCCTAAACATGTCTCTAATGGAGACAGAGCACAGATTACAAGAACTTTGAGTTCAACCTAGTATGACCGTTCTTACACTGAAAAATCCAATTAGCTTAAGCCCCCAGGACATGTGCCTGCTTTAGTGGTACAGTTTTCTTTGCTCAGTAAACTACTGTTTTGTAAAATAATTCAGAGCAATTATTTTTAATCAAAATAAAACAAATATGATGTCCTTTTCTCTCTGATTCTTCACTGGGGACCTGAACTCTGTACCTTTCACACCATACAGTTATAAACCAGACACACAGACTATTGCATCAAAAGATTTTGCACAATTAGGTTCCAAGAAGACTGTAGTCTCTGCAGCTGAAAGAAAGCCAACTTCCTTTTGAACAGGATACAATATTAATTAATTCAATATATTAAAAAAATTGAGGCTTCTCTAGGGAGATGAGAACACTTTCCATTTTGACAATACTGTTATTATCTAAAGGAAATATTATGAATGAGAATGTATCTGAAGGGAATTGTAAAGTAACTCACTCCACACGATCCCCTATTTGAAACATGGTACCCTCAGTACATTTTGCTGACTGCACCACCACTTATAAGATGAGCCTAGACTCCTTATGTTCAACTGAATTCTACAAAATATTCAACCCTCATAATAGCTCTGTTAAATGAGTAACGCTTGCACCTCCATCCCCAAAGAACTGTTTTCAAATTTTACTCTTACAAAACCACAGCAAACCCATCTGATGGGCAACATGTTCAGTCTAGGAGGGAAAGCTCTATATAAACTGTACGAAAAGAATATTACTACAATAAAGCAATTTTACCAAATGCATTAAGCCCCACTGATTTAAAATATACCAATAAACATTAGAAAGCTTAAAAGTAAACTGTTAAGAACATTTCAGATATTTGACTAGCTTATGCAGCATGATCATTGCTATGTTAATAAGACACTGCACATAAGTACATGTAAAGTGGGAAGTCACCTGTCCGACTTGACGTACAGTATGACTCAAATAATAAAACAATGCGTTGTACTAACTGGTCTCTTTTCTTTGCACTTCTTGAATGTTAAAGTACCAATACTTCCAGTTTGTGTGTTCAGTAATTTCAGCTAAAATAAACTTTTAAAAATGCACTTACCAACGTATTTGAGTTTGCTCAAGGTCATCCAAATGAAGTAAACGAGAAAGGTCCTTTTTGACTCTTGCTGAACAAGACAGTTATTTCAGTAAAGTGAAAAACGTTATTAAATAAGGAGTTGTAATAGTGCTATCGATTGTCATGTAATAGAGCAATTATTTTACCTACTTCCTTCTACAGATCATCCACCTGGTTATATTGAGACAAAGGAGGAGGAATGATTATAAGACCTCCCAATGCCTCACACTGATCCTTTTCCTCTAAAATCTCACCAAAATACATCCTCATCCAAGAAACACACAGGAAATAGATACAGTATCATACAAAACATGACACCTTCCTCAATACTTCCCATTACTATTGACAAATGTAGGAATTTGTAAAGCTCACAATAAATCTTGCACGTAACTTAAAGTATAACCTCATCAAGTGACAGTGAGCAGCAATTTACCACCATTTCAGAACCGACATGAATAATGGTTACAGTCTTGTTCTAGAGAACAGGACCTTGGAAAAGAAGCCTTACTACTACTTAAGGAAAGTATTTATTTATATTCCTTTGTGGATCATTCTCTACCTTATCTTCTCTTCCAATTAAAATTATACCTATAATAGTCTTTTAGGAAGCTTAATGATCCCTGCCATCTGCAGTATCCTTCCTGTAAGTGAGGAAATGAAAGACCAAGTGGATTTATTTGACAATTGCTTGCTCCTAATATATCAGTACATTCTAAAAGCAGCAGCTTGATGAAACTGAATGGGAGCGAGATGCATTATAGGTGGAAAGAAATCTCTATGCAGATGGAGGTGCACAGTCATATGGCTTCTTGTTTGAAAGGCAGGGAGACTAGTCTGAAGAGGCAACTACAAGGCAGTGAGACCTAGAAATTATACACAGAATTACTAAAGTGAGGATAGAAATCCAAGAAACTATAGAATAACCATGAATTTATTAAAGCCAACATCAAACTCTAGTGTCACACGTGTAGCTTGGATTTCAAGAAGGAATATTGTTAAATAAAAGTCAGAGTGGTGACCTGAAACATTAAAAGAGTGAGGCAGTCAAGCCCAGGTCGGCTGGAGAGACATAACCACAGTACCTAGAACTCGGTGGTTAGCCACACACAGCTCATCAGTCCCAACTCCTGCCCAAAGTTATCAAAGCACCCTAACGAGACCACACATTGACGGGACGTAAAACAATCTTTAGGATTCCTCTAATGTGGTTTTCAAGAGTCCTACACTAAACTCAGAACGCTCCTGGAATGTTTTCACTTGTTGCTCCTAATACCTTATTAAATCTAAACAGTGAAATTGTTCTTCCTTTCAGCATAGTTTTCCCCAGCATTAAGAAATACACATTCTAGAACCAGATGCTACTGAGCAAGGCATAGCTAGAATAAAGTATAAAAGTCAGAGATACTTAGGGCTTTCCTTCAGGTCATATATGTTAGGACAACGTTATCCTGTTTTGTGCAAGGTCACATAAAACTAAAAAAGTTCTACACTAAAAAACTAACTTCTACAGGAAGGTGAAATTCAATCATTTTAAGTCTCTGGAATTCTCCTTTTACAAAGCTATGATTTTCCATATTATCTTTAGCACAATTTACTAACAGGAGCAAAGGTAACTTTTCATTCTTCATCATTAGATCAAGACACTACAACTAGTCTCTTCTGCGCCTGGTTCCTCCCTCACCCTAGGCTCGATATTATGGAAATGACCATTCCTCTCCACAGTGCTTCCTCTGTGTAAGGTGCTACCTAGTTTCTTCTGGAAATTTTCTCCTGCCCCTTGCACCTAATTTGCACCAAAGTGGTGCCAGTGTTGAGCATAGTTTTTGGTGTCACTCTGCTTTCTTCTGCTGATCTCAGGTATCTCAGCACAGGAGGAAATTCGTTTTGCTGGCACAAGATCAGCATTTCTATGCTCACTGACAAAACTGTTAAGAGACTGTTTCAGAGACAGACAATACTAGGAAATTATTTTAACACAAGATGATTAAGGCTTAAACAAGAAGACTGTTTGCTATGAGAAGCAGAGTTGCAAAATCTGTTTAATCAATGAATGTGACCAGATGGATCAGTACGCAGGTACTTAAATAGAGAAATAAGTGACCTCGTGAACCTTGAGCTGAGAATTCACTTCTTCAAAGTAATCCAATAATTCTTAAAATTGTCTTGCTGCCAGACCGATCAGAAACATTACTACACAAGAAAACACGTGGCTCACATATAGCTTTAATCAACATTATTAAAAATCCAGCTCTCCCAAACTGGTTTCACGTGAGATACAACAGCAGAATTCAAACTAGCACCAAGAAACATGGTCATTCAATTGTAAGCAGCCACTTCCAAGAAACAGCACACGAAATGCATTTAACAGTCACATTATTTGATTTATCAAGTTCAGTTCTGAGAACAGTTCTGTGTTTGAAGCCTGAGGACACCTGAAATACTATACGTGAAAACCAATACCCTACATGAGTACAGTGCAGGTAAAGATCTGCAAGGATCCAGCTGTGCAGCAAATAGGATTCATTTCCCACAGCTTCTACCAGTGTCTGTAAGAGGCACAGTTTATATCAAAGATATAAGTATCAGAGAAAAATACCGATATATGTATTTAATCAGTGTCATACACAAGTAGCTGAGACCTTTACTTTATAAAGTCAGGTATAGTCATTTACTCTGTTACTGATAATCACAATCAGAATATACTAGGACTAGAATTGAATTCCTTTCTAAATCTAATCAAATTGAGAGAAAATTTTGCAGACCAGTGTTAAACTGATGAAATTGGTTTAAGGTGATTATTTGCCAGCTTATGCTAGATAAATACTACATCACCAAATACAACAGTAATTAAATAATTTAAAGGGTCCATGAAAGAATGCACTGGTTTAGACTGTTTAAAACCTCTTAATCAAATTGGTGCAATAACTTCAAGGCACACAAAATTAGATTCAGTGAGACAGTTGTTTTACAAGAGAAAACAACAGCAGCAAAACTGCTGAGGATAAACAGCAGAAATTCCGCTGTTAAAAGAAAGCAAGTAATCACAAGGACAAAGCAAGCAAAGACATAACTGAGTTATAGATATTGTATAGAATAAGACAAAAAAAAATCTTTTAATTCTTATTACTGAATTGTGGCTGTCTTCCTCTAATCTGCCGAATTTGAAAAAATTGTTTCTCAATACCAGTGAGCTCCAGGGAGAAAAGGAAAAGAGAAGTTTATTAGGATAAAAATGTATGTATAAAATATACTTTATGACAATTTATCAGTATTACAGCAGTAGTATATAACCCTTTTTGGGTCAGTTCTTGTGTAAGTTAAAACCAAAATCCTTTCTTGTACTTTTGAGGAGATTTGCTTCCTCGAGCCAATTCATTCTTCTTCTCTTCCCCGTATGTGTGTTCCTATGGTTTCTGTTAGTCAGTTACTGCAGATGTCAACAATTCCAAGATCGGGATGAAAATCTAACAGATGGAAGTCCTTTTGCAAAGGGTAGCTGTTTTCATCTAGCACAAAATGGCTCCTCATTTCCAACAAATAGAATGCTTTCGTATCTGCCAGCAGCAAATGACACAGATCTGCCACTATTGTGCTGTACGTTATATCCGAAGAGGGCACTGCAAAAAACCAGAACAAACCAATTTACTTCCACAATAGCACCAGCATTCAAGTTTCGCCTCCATGAAAGCTACACTGAATTACTGGAAGCGTAGCTCAACATCTGAATAGAAAGTTAGCTTTTGGGTTTGATTTTTTTTTTTTTTTAAGTAATGCTGAAAGACTGTTTCTCATTGAACTCTAACATCTGTGGAATCATAAAAAACACCTCACAGGAAGAATGGGAAGAATCAAGGGAAGCCTGTCTGAAACACTGCTCCGTTATTTACACCATGAAAGCACATTACCTATTTCTAACAACTGTTTTAACCTATTCTATTTTGCATATAAGGAATCAATTTAATTACTGAATACTTAGTTATATAACATACAATATTTATACCATTTCACCATTTGTTGTTGGTAACTCAGCTTCTGAACTTCTCAGTTTATCTCTAAGGCTGTTTGGTTTTTTTTGTAAGTCTTATACCATATGAGCAATCATCATATTTCTAAAACAATCTCATTTCAATTCTAAATTGTCAATAATTAAAAATCTTACTTCCATTATGAACTATCACAATTAATGAAACAGTACCTACTAATCTGTTCAGCCAGTCTGCAGGAATATTGAGGAAGATTTTTTCCATCAACTCAGATGCCACCTGAACACAAATTTCATATCCTTCACCTTCTATTGTCATCAAAGCAGGTCTAGAACAGAAAACAAAATTGTTGAAAGTTAGCTGCTCTGGTGTTTTACTGAAGCAAGATTACTGAATTAAATACAATTTAATGTTACCCTCTAACATAACACCAGGAACTAGATAATCTCTATGCACTCAGGTCTGCCAAATCCGTAGAGTTGGAATGAGTTTGTGATATACATAAATACTGAACATACTACTAAATTGTAAAATTATTTGTAAAGCTACCAAGTAAGCCTTACTTTGAGACAACTGCAGAAACCAATGCTTTAGCAGTGATCTTTTCCTAGAAGACAATCAAAACTGCACTGTTACAAAATTAGCATTAGGGCATTTGTGGCTTTGAATTTTAAAAGTTAATATGTTAAGTACGTGTACCTACAAAACAAATATACAAGTACATTAAGTTTTAAAATGCAAGTAGGGAGACAAGATTAGGTGTTTCACTTGGAGTAGTTACCATCTGTATTAATATCACCTAATATTGTCTGTCTTAATACACCACTTCACAGCCACTACGTAATACCAAGATACTATCTCCTGTACTATGACAAATACCAAACAGTTACACATACTGCTAAAAAAGGGAAAAATTCCTCTGCTTCCTGAAAGCCATTTTCTACATAGGATGTGGTCAAGAGTATTCACATCAGGTCTGAAATGAACCTGGTTAGGGACTGCTGTCCCACCAGCACTGGTCTTCCCAATTTTTTTTTTGTTTGTTTCACATAATTCAAATGTGGTATTGGATGACAAGCAACTGGTAAGAAGTGATCCTCTTCTTAGTACAGGTATCCCCTATATTTCAAGTGTTTGTCTTTTCAACCTATTATCAGTATCGCATCTTTTTTATGACAAATTAAGTCCTTGCTATTGGTTTTTGCTGTGCTTCTGTGCAATGATACCTCAGCAGTCCCTACAGCAATGTTCAACAGGTAGTTTCTGCTTGCTTTTAAGCTTCTGAGTGACTGTACTGAACTGCATGGTGTACACAGCTGACGCAGCCTCTATCCAACACGTGCCCTTGGACTGCCCCAAGACTACTTACAATTTGACCGGCACCATCACAATCCTCACACTTTTTAGAAAACATGCACTGCTCTGATCATAGAAGGATGCAACACTCGGATCCTGACCATCCCAAAGAAGAAACTACAGTAGTAAACATCAGGCTATATTCACTATAACGTAAACCCTGGCTATGGCAATACTGGAACAGTACCAAAGCAGTCTAGGTTAAAAGAAGTAATAAAATAAGGCACGATTATCTCCAGTGCAGAAATTTTCCGTGACAGATGCTCCCAGAATGGCAAAATGTGCTTGCTGTGAGAGGTGGCAGAAATTAAAGACAGGTAATCACTTCAAGAGACTAACAGAGTTGCACTTTCAAATCGGATGGTCAGCCAGTATGTCAGTGTATCAACAACTGGAGAGCATTAATAGATTACTCAGTTAGCACGATGCAGAACAGACCTAACAGCACTAATTTGAATGCCTGTGAGGCACTAAGGCTAACGACTGTAGATATGGCATTTTCACAGTAGGCAAATCATTTGACTTGAGATCTGTTAATCTAAAAGCTACTGCTAAATTTCATAATTTTAAGTGAAGTGATCAAAAGAGATGAGAGAACTCCATGTCTGATTAGTTGTGGAATTATTAAAATCTGTTGGTTTAGGCAGAAACCAAGGCCCAGACTAGTTGTAGTCACTTAAAGACTGCTGGCTCCCTTTAAGAAAGCTTTGCAGTACACTTACATACTCAGCTTCCCAAATAATTGCGGATAATTGCTACTTTTTCTCTGAATATTGGTATTTTGGTTCAGACAATTGGTACTGAAGTCTATGAAAAGTATTATGACTTCCAGAAATACTAAATTAACATTTTGGAAATGATATAATTTACTTAAGTATGTTGGCAGAGAAACATACTAAGAGATGTTGCAAAATTTAAAACTTCTAAAACCACAGGCAAATGTGGTCTACAGATGTAACTCACAAACCAAGTGATGTGTTAGGAGAGATTAATTTTGCTTCACTACTGGTTATTATACACTACCTGCTTTCTCAGTTCATACTCTCTTCTCAAGGCCATATTAAGTCTTCTTTCAGATAATCCTACTTCAATAAGAATGAACTGTCATTGCGAGAAAGAAACTTCAACACAGCCTTTGAAACAGAGCCTAACAGTTAATTTTCTTTCATGAGTGCCACATAAAATGCTGTTTCATGATTATTCCTTAGGTATCACTGGTTTTAATATGGTGAATTTAAAAATTTAAGTTCCTAGGATCATCTGCCTCATTATTACTGCTACTGTTACAGCATTCAGCATTCCAGGTACCTTAAGAAAAAAAAGAGAAAACTATCTAAGCATATACACAGGCATTTATCTTAAGCTTGTGTCTTCAGCATCTGAAGAAAAAGACTCATTTCATTACTATTACAGGAGATTAAGAAAACCAGGCTTCCACATTTCAAAGGAAAAAGATAAGGGATGACTTCACTGACCTAAAGGATTGAAATTCAAGATTTTAAGGCTATGTAAGTCTTTTAATACCAAGATCCTGCCACAATATCTGTTTTCCTTTTACAGTACCTATTTCATATCTTAAATACTATTTAGTTTTTTAAAGAGTGTGAAATCTGTGTAAGGTTAAAGTGTTACTACATTCCCTGAATCACAAAGCAGCAAATCAAATTACAGGCTACTCCTACGGTTTAAGAAGTCTGCTGTTTACTCATACTACATAGAAAGCAATATGTAGACTTCATTCCCAAGGAGATACTAGTAGCTATTGCATTGCTAGAAATAGAGTATACTAAACTTAGTACTTCCTTATATTGAAGGATTAAAAACAAACCACAGAAATGTAATTTTCTACTAGTTGCACATACAGTTTTATTAAGAAGACTAACACTAACCATTGACATATCAAGCTGCTGAGTACTGCAGTAAAACAGACAGCATCTGTGGTTGATAAATTAGTTTCACTTAACAAGATATTTCTTTAGGAAGAGACAGATTTTTCTCCTGTTAAGTAGTAAATACTAACTTATCCTACAATGCAGAATTTGGAAATACTACTAAGGAGAACAAAACTCAGTGAGCAATTATTCAGTACGCAATAAGCCACTAAACTCACTACAAAATAGCATAGGAATAATTTTAGAAGATATAGATATTCTAGAATTCTATTATATCTATCATTCTCTTAATCTTCTCTCTATATATGTCTTTCAAGATGCTACAATACTTGCATTTCAAAAGCCCAAGATAAATTTAAGAATTGAACAATTAGTTAATAAAGTTCCTACCTCAACTGGATCTGTTGTTTTCTCTAAGTGAATGTGCACACACGTGTTATCTCACAGTGCCATCTGCTGATAACTTAGTAATTCTGCTCACTATGAGAATATTCACTGAAAATGTTGTTAATACTATTTCTGCAGGACCAAATTTGATTAATCAATTTAAAGACATGGTTGTGAGTTGACATGATTTCAAACCTAGACCAAAACAAGACGCTCATGGCATTTTCAATTAGTCCCCAAGCTTCTACTCCATCTTTGGTTACTGACACACTACTGGGTAAACCTTGCTACTGTAGGATGTAGTATTCAGAGAAATTAAAAAAAAGATTTAAACAAAGACTATCACCTATAAATGACAATATAATAAAGCAATTCAAGAATAGCTCCTTGAAAATTCATTAGAAAACTAGGAACTGTTAACTACATCTTAAATGTAGAATTTTCTATATGCAGTAGCTTAAAATGGAGAAAGTTTTTCCTTACTTCCCCAATAAGCACACATTATTATAATTTTATTTTGTTTACCTGTAGAATGTTTTCACTTTGTTGTATGGCAAACATCTAATACATTGCTTGTAGATCATGTTCTCATCTGCCTGTAGTTCCAAACCACATTTAGCACAACCTGAATATATCATCTTAGGCAGAGAAGCCAGAACACATGTCAGTGAAGTGTCAGCATGGAAGATGAGTTGCTTGTACTGACCAGCTGAAATGGTAAACTTGAGTTCTAAGATACGGGCTTTCACTTGAATCAATCCTACAAAAACAACAATTTCAATTAAATTTGCATTTAGTATTATTTATAATTGAAAGCAAGAACAAAGGTTACTGCTGATTCAAAACCAAAATCTAATTTTTTTTTCTCTAGTAGCACATGCTCATATTTTTAGAGACGATTTATGTAGTGTAAAAGCATTGTGGTGAAGTATTATTTAAAAATGTATAAAAGTACTACACTTTCAGACACTATTATGGTAGATGCACTATAAAAGAGCCTAATAAGAGGTCAAAAGATCAGAATTACGCAAATAATTTCCAACTGATTTTCTTCCATGTTAATTTAGGGACACTGAAAAGCACAGCTTTAACAGCTTCACTTTCCACTATTTATATATGAACTAGAGTTAAGTGCTACAATACCACCTTTCAGTCACTTAATGTTTAATACAAACCTCAGCAGTCTTCTAGGTCCACTTGGGAAGGGTTTTTTTGTAAAAAGTATTTTTTCTTCTTACAGGAAAACATTTCAATAGCAGTAGCTATTTTACTCTTCCCTTAGAGCATTCCAGTTTTGGAGACACAGTATTTGACAAACTTTTAGTGATTAACCACATCATTACTTGACTCGTTGATGTGGACACCAAAAGGCAGCATTTCTGCCTGTGTTCCAGAACTATCTTTGCACAGTACCAGATTCCACACCTACTTCACCTGTTGCTGGGCTCACTGAATGAAGGCTGCATTCACAGTTTGGCTGCGTGCTGAGCAGTTGCCTCCAGTATAAATTCAGACTCCCAGAACCACACTAACTTAAAAACCCCAAGCATTTTACTTGATCAACAAAGCATGCATTTTGCTTAGTGATGCGCTGCACAACAGACATTACAGAGCTATGAATAACAACCTTACCTGAGCGTTTTTCCTCCAAAAGTGCAGACAGCTTTGTCATCTGCATGAGGGATATTTTGCTTTTCTGAAACTTTTCTTTGAATTCAATTGCCCTTTTGTCATCGCCAAACAAGCACTCATAGGATGACCATGGAGTCGTGTGCAGTTCAAAGTCACCTGAGACAGAACTACGCTGCACCAGAAGGTATTTGAAGTCCCAAAGGTGATCTACAGAACAACAACAAAAAAACCCCAGCCATCAGAACAGTTTACTTGCTATACCTTAGGTAATTTACCAAAAGCCAAGGCCACTTACAAGATTGAGAAGCAAGTCAACAAGATATTCTCCTATGGTCAGCTCTGTCAACTTTATTTTAAGCCTGATGACATGCAGCGTTTTTTCTTTCCCTGTAAACTTTGCATCAAGTCCTCCCATAGCAGAACAATGCTTTCACTTCACTTGTACTGAATTCAGCCCTCAATACAACTCAACTTTCTGAAAAAGAAAACAGTTCTGGAATTTCCTGTCAGCTCTAAAAAGGAAAAGCTAGCAACGTCTAGAAGACAAAAAAAATCTTCATGTTATTAACTTTCATCTTCAATATGTCCCTGGTTTTTAATCTTCTCTATCCATAATGCTCAAATTTTAAAAATATTGTTTTTTCTAATAAATGAGACACTTTAAAAATAGAGATTACAGAAGAGTAATATGTTCTGGGTTGTCCTCTGCTTCCATACAAGAATCCCATATTCACTTACCAATCATATCTGACAACCGTTAAGGCTGTTATTTTTTTCCCTGATGTTTGCTCAAGCTGAAAGTTACAGCCAAAATAATTTGGTTAGGAAAACACAGATTTTTTTTTTTTAATGCATTCAAGTGTCTATATAAGCTTTTTCTTAGCATGTTTCAGTATTTTCATATTTTTGATTAGTTGGATTTTTGGGAGTAGCCTGCTAAAATTGCAAGCTCCTGAAAAATCTGCTGTCAGACATAGTAGTTTACAGTAAAATACTCCAAAAATAAAGTTCTCCTGTGAGCATCAGTCTAGTTTCATGCAGCTCATATTTGACTAGAGATCTTGCAGCTCCTCAGAACTGAGTGTGCTCTGGTCAGGAGGTAAGATTCAGGCAGTATCACCTCAGCAACAGCAGGAAACAAACAGGCACTTGCCAAGAGAGGATATGCAGAAGTAGAGGACATAGTCTAACTAGGGTGCAAGCTCCAGTTGATACCAAAATTTAACTTATTATTCAGATCTTTAACATTTTCCTTTTGCTTAGAAAATTCACAAAACACAAGTAAGTTATAAGTAAACAAGTTTACAGAAATGTATTTAATGAAGCAAATTTTTTTTAATATAAATCAGATTAGCATAAAGCATTAATTGAAAACCCGATGACTATGTCTTGGAAGCTAGGACTGATATTTAGCACGAGATAAAACATAAATTTGACTTTTACTGGCAACAATTTTTAGATGCTCTAGAACAGTCTTACAGCCTTGTGCACTTTATTTTAAGTATGTAGACAGTTTAAAAATTACAAGTCTCCATACTTTTCTCTGCAAGACTCCCTGGTTTCTAACCTGTTAGTACAACCAGCAAACACATGCCATGACTGTGGTATGGCTCCTAGCAAGGATGGACACCATGCTCTTCCTGTAACCACTCACGCTATTCGGCTGTTGGGCTGTGCATGCTTTAGTGTCATGGGAATTTATCTTTTTGGCTATCTTGCTGGGATCAAATGTTCATGGTTTGTCTGTGATTAAGTATTTGAACAGTTGCAAAATCACTCTTATCTTGAATTTCAGGTAATCCTTTAATCATTAAAATGCCAACCACTAGATACACAAACCAGTAGCTGGAGAATAAGATACAAGCTTTACATCAAATACACTTAATACTACAGAGATGTATGTCTTACACTTTTCTGCCTTAAGCATCAAAGAATGATACATTATTGTGTCTTAGAAACTACCTTTGGTATCTTCTTTTTGCAGTACAAAAATTTTTAAATTTTGTATTTTGAAAGTAGTAATACTCTAGTATGCTGAATTCTGTAAGATTTCTAAGTATCTAACAGCACATACCTGCTCACGCTGAAATATGCACAAAAATAAGAGCCATGTAGGTATTGTGTAGTAAAGTTAATCGGCTAATGCTTAAATTGGACCATCTTCAAGAAATTCAAGAGGTAGGTCTTGAAGTTAAATGATTTCTAGAAGTGGAGATTATTTATAAACTGAAGTAGAACTGGCAGAATTCAGAGTGTACTCACTTAATAGGTAAAGATTCGCTACGAGGTTGTTTAACCTTTCTGGGAATTATTTTGCACTAAAAACCTGGCTTTTTAGGCAGACATATCCAGCACTCCATGTAACACAGCATTTACTTCCTCAGTGTATCCATTGATCAGAAATACAAACTCTAAAGTTCATAATTTAATAAAGACTTAGCCAGGATTAACCAGAATTCACCAGTAGTCACTGCTAAAACACAAGCTATGTATCTCTTGTAGGAGATGGTTTCAGTCAGCTGCAGCTCGACTTGCTAGCAAGATCATTAGGATATGAAGCCTGACACTGTAGTAAGGTGGAAATCAGGGAATGAAAAACAGAAGTAGAAGAAAATCCAGAAATTCATGCCAGAACAGAAGACAATAAGGAAGACTCAGCAAAACTAATAGTATAGCCACTCAAGAGGGTTGGTTTTTATAGCTATATAACTAGACAGCAGTGCATCTTGTATCTAGATTCAAGTTTCCAAATATTCATGCTTTCTCAGTCTTCTACATCAAGAGCATTCCAGTTCTGTGGCTGATAACACTGCTTCTAAACAGAGGAAACATGTTAAAACTTGCATAAAACAGGTCACTCTTCCAGGGGGAGTATTTAAGGGTTGAATGGAAAAACGTTACCAACTGAGCATTTTAAAGGTATTAATAGCATTACAGAAATCCTTTCCCAGCTACCTGCAAGTACGAGGACTTTACCTTTTTTCCTTTGAAGCTGAGGGCACCAGGCAGCCCCTGCTCCCCACAGCACCATCCTATAGTGTTGATCTCCGCTCTGTTCTACTGTTAGAACAATTTTTCTTTGGCTGCCACCTCTGTAGCTATACACAGATTCTGAAAAAAGTTTGAAGTTATATGACTTCTACAGTAAAAGGCATAGAGACACAAACCCCATATGCTTCAAAATTAAATGCTGCTATCTTATTTTACTGCACAATTGTAAACAAGCAAGAATACACCTAAAATTTCTTGAGGACAGAATGAAAATAATCTGATTTCTTCAGCAACATGACTCTAGTTTGAAGGAATGCATAAAGTAGATTAATTTACCTTTATCTACCTAAGTACTCAGCAAGCAGACACCTCCCTTTCCCATACAGGTATCTGAGCATCTTTCAGCTCCCACTCATCCTGATTGGTAAAAGCAGAAAGAAATTGTACTCAATCTCTCAGCAACAGAATATAATAAATGGAAGTTAAAGTTCCTGTAACTTCTGTGGAATTCACTGTAAGAAACATTTCTCTAGGAGTTTTCACACGGAAGAAAACTACAATCACAAACAAGCACACTAAGAGGGATAATAGCAGTACATATAAATTGAAACAATTACGTCTACAGCACTCTTACCCAGGATACTCACTGTAAGTTTCAGTTCTACACTAAAACTACAATATTTTTCACAAGCAAATGGTTTTTGAACAAGAACTCTGGCTTTAAATATCTAACAGTTCTGAGATTTATATACAATAATAAATTGTGAAGGTGTCTATCTTCAAAATTTTCCATTTATAGTGAATAAACATATTGACAGTGTGGGTAAAAATCTGAATCTTACTAACACAAAACAATAGTATAAATGATCAAATACCTGTGTAAACTACAAGTCAAGCACTGAAACACAGCAGTAAAGAAAATAAATCAAATAACAAAGATAATCTCAGTAGAACAGTGGTTTCCAACTGTCCAAAAACATGTTAAAAAAATACGGCAAGACACTGCACAAAATACTGAGAATGCCTCAGATTTTTTTTATTTACTTTTTAAACTTCAGAATGTGGGAAAGATGCTAGGAAGCAGCTGATTATGAAAAACCAGAAACAAATTATCAATTTTAACATGGAAAATTGCTTCAGCAAAAGGAAACCTGGAAAAGCTGCAATTACTGTTGGAAGAAAATGAATGTGGGGCAGAAAAACAAACTAAAAAAATAATTACATGGATCATTCTTTGGGAGAGAAGAGCTTTTAGAATAAATATATGCAGGAAACTCAGATTTGTTAAAAATATACAGAAAAAAACCCAGATTTCCAAAACAAATTACATTAATGAGGTAGTTGTCTCCTGTGCCTATGTGGAAGAAATATGGGTATCACAAATAAGACATTTTTGTAGTCTCGCACTGTGCATTTTCCAGTGTTGAAAACCAAAAAGAATCCAAAAAGGCACACAAGGAAGGATTATAATAAATAGATACTGCACATATTTAAGAAACCAGAAATGCTTTACTTTGAAAAATAGAAAGAAATAAACATGAAATATTCCAAATAAAACATTAGAGAAAACTGTTCCATTATAAACTAAAAAAGGCAAGCAAAACCTGGATTAAAATAAGTTATTTTATTCTGAAAACCAATTTGCAATTTATTGCAGTTTACAGTGCAATCAAATATTCCTTCGATGGCAGGATGCTTGCATAGAAGGTAGCTGGCATGTGAGCTTTGAATTAGTGAAGCCTGACCCACCCACAAAAACCAGCCCCCTTTCTCAAGCAGTGGTCTACAGCAAGAACGTACCTCTTGAGTTTCAAGAGCCATTAATGAACAAATTTACATTCCTCCACCAAAACTGCAGCATCTCCCTCTTTTCAGCACTCCTGTTACAGTCACCTGTCTTCCCTGACAAGGATTTCAAGCCCACACTCCTCATATCTAAGATAT